TTCCCCAAGCTCCACCCCTGCTCTATTCCCCGCCCCCCGCGTGACGTGACCCGGGTCTTTCCACTTCCCACCCCCGCAGTGAAGTGGGATGACCAGCTGGGAGGGGGCAGAGCTGAGGACTAGCCAGAGCCCCCCATAACCGCCCAGGCTGCCTTGGGGCCCCCCAACGCACGGGGTGGCTGCCCTGACCCATCATAAGCACGGGTGGCTTTGCCCTGGGGTCTGGCCGGCATCCAGGGTAGGGGAGCTGGTACGTCTTTCCACTTCCCACCCCCGCAGTGAAGTGGGATGACCAGCTGGGAGGGGGCAGAGCTGAGGACTAGCCAGAGCCCCCCATAACCGCCCAGGCTGCCTTGGGGCCCCCCAACGCACGGGGTGGCTGCCCTGACCCATCATAAGCACGGGTGGCTTTGCCCTGGGGTCTGGCCGGCATCCAGGGTAGGGGAGCTGGTACGAGGACCCGGACCCTTTGGCTGTGTGAATCTGCCGGGTTAGGGTTTACGGCAGAAACTCTGTTGGGCACTTCGCTAAAGGGCCAGCTGCCATGCAGAGCCAGGGACACGCTGCTCCCCCCAGCTGAAAACAAGGGAGGTTCTGCCCCCCCCGGTTACGAATCCCTCTCTTGGGGGGGGGGGCGATCAGAGCACTCCGGGGTTCGTACAGAGCAGGGCTGAAGGACCGAGGGCCCAGTGAGGCCAGTGTCCTTAGGGTAGTTTTATTCCGTATCTATGGCAACAGACAAGCGATGGAGAGGGCGCAATCTAGTCCATTCCCCTTCTCAGCTCCACTCGCACAAGCCTCCTTCTCGGGCGGCCAGAGGCTGGAGATCTGGCGGGGCACCGCGCTGCCTCGGCGTCTGTCCATCCGTCTCCAGTGACGCCCCGGCGCTGTCAAGGCCGTTCCCCACTCTGGCATGACAAATGCAGACGTGGGAGCCTACAAAAGGACCCCAAAACCGGATCTCTACAGGCTTTGGTACAAAAACTTCCCCCCACGATATCCGGTGCGACCACCGAAGTACTCCAAGCAAACCAGGGAAAAGATCACTTGGGAAAACTTCCTCCCTAAAATCTCAGGGGCACCTCAAGCTCCTTTCCCCCAAAGAGCTTGAAAAAAGAAAAGAGAAAACAAGCTGCCTTCTGTGGAAGCTGACTCCTTAGGCAGACAGACTTCCCAGGACACAAAAATGAACCAATACCGATTACTTAGACAAGAGAAAACAAGCTTTTATTATCAAAACAAAACTGCAGTTGCGAGCATAGTTGAGGTGGCAAGATGGTAAGAGCCACCAAATTGATACACTCAGACAAAATTCTCTGGGTTAACAAGCTTCATTGCAAAAGAGGAAAAACACTGTTAAACAAAGAAAAAAACATGGTTAATAGCACAGACCTCAGTTCCAAATTCCCAAACCAGAATACAATAAAACGTGACGGACTAGCTAAACGTTTCCTTACATACACGTGTAAGAAGTCCTTCTTGGGGACAGAAGTGTCTTTCTGTCTCCCTTAGTATCTGGAGAAACTGTTCTGCCTCAGACAAAGGAGGGTATGTCTCGTGGAATGAGGAGTAACGGTAGTTCGAACTAGGAAGCCTAGTTCGAACTACCTAGTTTGTGCCCCGTGTAGCCGCGCTGCACGGGGTTCGAACCAGCGGGGTTTTAAAAATGGCGGCGCCCCGCTTATGCAAATGAAGCCCGGGAAATTCAAATCCCGGGCTTCATTTGCAAGTGCGGTATGCCTACATTACCCCGCTAGTTCGAACTAGCGGGGTAGTGTAGACATACCCGGAGGGAAAAGATAAAAATTTCTTTGTTCCAGTTTGAAATCCCTACTTGCATTACTATCGGCTGACCAGATACCTGGCTAGGTAAGCCCTTTAGCCACGAGGCTACTGGTCAACTCTCCTGGTTATGACAGGCGCTAAGGACTCTTATACACTTCTAATCAGTATCTCTGTTGGGATGTGTCTACCCAGCACCCGGGACAAGCTACGCAAATTGCATAGCTTATTTCGAAATAGCTTATGCGTGTGCTCTGTGTTTGTGTCGCTGAGAGTCTGTTTGTGTGTGTCTCTGTGTGCACGTCTGTCTGTGTGTGAATGAGTGTGTATGTGTGTGTGAGTATGAGTGTGTATCTGAGTGGGTGGGTGTGTGTACTGCATCAGTGAGGGAACTGTCCGCGTTGCTGGCTGCAGGCAGGGTGCACAGAGCCAGAGGCAGATCTCACCGGGGTGCACAGGGAGATGTGTTGCAGAGGGAACACACTGGGGTGGGGGAGGGTCCCAAGGCTGCTACTGCTGGAAGGGTGCCCGGGCGGTGGACCCTCCCGCGCTCTGCCACCGAGGCCCGACTGGCTCCTTCTCTCCCCCCACAGCCTCCCCTGCACTGCCCCTCCCCCAAGGACCACCCTGAGGCCTGAGTGACAGGGAGGGGGGAAGTAGGCAGACAGGTCAGAATGGCAGGGCGGGGAGGGAGGGAGCAGAGCTTGGGTCGGAGCAGGGGGCAGTGTGGGTGGGGCCCTGGGGAGGAGGCTGAGCAGGGTGGGGCCTTGGAGAGGAGCAGGGGGCAGTGTGAGGGGGCCTCTCCAAATGCAGGAGTCCCGCGCTGCTGGTGGATTCCTCTATTTTCACTACATCGACAGTCTCCTGCTCCGGCCACGGGTGGATTTCTTCTTGTACCAGGGACTTCCGTACCGTTCCAGGACATGCTGTATGGCTGCAGCCTCAGTGGTCTGGGAGCGCTGCCCAGGGGGCAGTGTGAGGAGGTGTCTCCAAATGCAGGAGTCCCGCGCTGCTGGTGGATTCCCCCATTTTCACTGCCTCTCCAGTCTCCAGCTCCGGCCATGAGAGGTGCACTTCTTGTAGTTGGGACTTGTGTTCCGTTCCAGGACATGCTGTATGGCTGCAGCCTCGGTGGTCTGGGAGCGCTGCCGGAATACGTCTGCCACCTCTTGCAGCCTATTTCTCAGTGTTTTTTTCTCCTGGGTGGTGCTTGCGATGGCAAAACCGGCTTTGTAAATCTCAGCTGCCTCGGGCAGGGACTCCCGCGTGTAGAGGAGAAAGTCCCCCCAGTGAAGGTAGACGGCCTGCTGGCACCTCTTGCTGAGGGTGGACACCTCGCTCAGGAGGTTGAGGTAAATCTCCTCTTGGTACTCAGGTGTCTTTTCTCCGTACATTTCAGCAAGCGCCAGCTTTGCAAACACAAAGGCGGGATCTTTCTGCACAGCCATCTTGAAGGCCTCTGTAGCCGCTGCCAAGATTTCTTCTCTCTTGCCCGTGTCAGCCACTGCCAGCTGTTCCTTGTAGCAACGAGCCAGGTCATAGTGAGGGAGGTGATAAGTGGGGTCCAGAGAGATTGCTCGCTCTAGAATAGCAATTGCTTTTTCTGGGACCTCTCCTTGAAAGAACTTGGCTGCATTTCTCAGGACCTCGGGGTCCCGGCTATTCCGAACAACATCTTCGACCAGGGCTTCTGCCTGGGGTCTATCCCGCCTCTCAAGGATCTTGGCTAAATACATCTTAGCTTCATAGTTTTGCGGCTCTTCCTGGATAATGGCGCTCAACTTCTTTTTGGCATCTGACTTGTATTCAAAATCACGTGAGTGAGTGTACGAGGCGAAGGCTGCGATTGCCGACCCAGCAAGAAATTCCCCATTGGCTTCGTCTTCTGCCAATGCCCTTTGGAAACACTCTGTGGCCTGTTGGCCGTGGCGGGAGGCCGTTGGCCGGG